CATACTGTCCCCTCTGCCGATCATGCCAGTATCTCTGCTTCACACCTGTTTCAGTTTTAGTTCATAGATCATGAACAAGCAGTTAGAAGTGTAAAAAGTCATGTTAAAAAGCTCTCATAAAAGCTGTGTACAAAAGCACCAATATTCCCATCTCCCTCCTGGAAGCCCTTCGCCAGATACTTCCAAGAGTCACATTTACTCTTCTCTGGGCTACACAATACTAGCATTATTTTGTGATCAATTTTTATTTATCTTTTTTTTTTCCTCTGGTTTTTGACTTACAATCTTTCATCTTACAGTTGAAATTTCTGTTGTCAGTTCAACTGAATGATAGAATTGATTAGCATACTCTCACCCTTTGTACCAAAGCATCAAATCCAAAGGCTGATCCAACATGAGTAACCTCCTTCCAGCCTGATACCCTTTCAATATCTCCCTTCAATGGGATTTCCTATCACATTACAACGCCAGCTTCTGCACTTATGAATAATCATTCATGAAAGCCTCCCAAAACCTCCTTGATAAATACATAACTTCAGTTCAGATTGATGAGAACGCCTTTGTTTGGGGGTGGGAGGGGGTGGAATGTTACAAAACACAATTACTAGATTAGTCTAACAGGATGTGTTGTTGGTCACTAACTTTCCATTTTTTTCCAAAGCTTTAATTATTCTTTCCTTCATCATTTGCTCTGAAGTTGTGCTAAATATTGAGGCAGATGAACAAACCTGCAGTTACTAAGATGACTCTCCCTACCCCCTAATATGGGCTCTACAGTAGCTGTTTTAAGCCACAGGGGTACTGCCTCTATGTTACAATACTTTCTCCTAGCGCAAGATTTCACATGCTTTTGGAACTCTGAAATGGACTTCATTTCTACTGTAGTTGTGGTTACTACTATTTCCATACTCCCATTATCATCCTGCCTTTTCTTATATGCAGTTTTCTTTCCTGTACACAGAAGTAAGTATTAGTTTTTGAGAAAAGTCTAGATGATCTTTGAAGAACTACAACACGTAAGGATAGGGCAGTGATCAAACAACATGGAGTAAAGCTATAGAACTGATTGCCATAGGATGTCCTGGAAACTAAAGGTTTACACTAGCTTAGGGGGAAACTTGACAGGTTCATGGAAAAGAAACTCCCTGTGGGTTACTAAATACAGAGAAACCACTGCTGAATAAGGAAGTCCCTAAACTGTAAGTTACTGGATATACTCAGAAATTATCATAAAGTGCTTACCCTGTTCTTACACTCTTTTCAAGTACTTCTGGCCACCACTGGAGACAGGATATGAGAGAGGACAGATTTACTTATTTTAATGTGACTCAAAATGGCTATTTTCATGTAGCCCAAATTTTTCCTTGTTTTATTTATAATCCTTTTACACACCCTTATATTTTGGTTTGCTATTGGTAGCATCAGCTGGCTTCTAGCTTGCTGTAACAAAACAAAGCAAATGCCTTCTGTCCAACATTAAAAAGTGCTGAAGCCACGAAACATCTTAGATGCCCTTAAAAATGTTATTACAAAATTAATACATAGAGTTGACACAAGCAGACTTAGCCTCGCAGCAACGAAGTTCTCAGTCTTTGGGACAAAAGCACTTTGTTGACAATGGAAAAAAAAAAGTCAGTAATTAAAAATGAGAAAGACATTCCAGTACATTTCCACTGCATACAGACTGGGATAAATAACATCTCTTTCTGTTTGCCTTGCATCTTATTGTGTGTGTCTCAACTTTCTAAGCAGTTCCAGTAACAGACTAGGAACTTATGAAGCGTGGATGCCATCTTGTGGCATGCAGCCATTCTCCCTGCAGACAGGAGCAAGAAACTGGTTTTGTCCCTGAAGACCACTGAAAAATCCATTAAGACAATAATCTGTCACATACACTTTGCAATATAAGGTCAGAATTCTAAACAAAAACAAAAAAACACCCACAAAACCCACCAGTGCTAATTACTGCACTACTTTAGTTAGTATGGGATGGATGAGTTATACATCGGCCAGGTAATAAATGTTTTTTCTATCTCGGGACACAATCTTATCCCCCAGAACAAAATAACCCAGATTAGGCCCAACTGCTCTACCTCTGGCCCAAGCACAGCTGGGGGTGGGGATCTGATTCAGAAAGTGACATTTAGAGACAAACAGCTCTTGTTCTTTCTTTACTCACTAGCCTACCAAGGTTTTCAGGCTATTTTGATCCTATGAATCCTGACTCTGAGCAATAGCATGTGAGAGCTGGAAAGCTTTTCACTTGAGTTCCTGCTTGCAAGAAATGCCAACGCTAGATGCTAGGTTGGATAACACTATCTAGTTCTCTCCCTCCTACAGTGTTATTCTTTGTATTCTCATGGGTTTTGACCTGTTCAGTATGCGTTTGTTTTGATTTAAGCAAGACTTTTGTATTCAGCTGGAGAGCAGATAACTTCAGTAAACGGTGTTCTAAATAATATGATGTTCTAAATACACAAGAGCACTTCTGAAAAAGGCTCTTGTCTGGCCCATGTCCTACAGGTTTTATTCTACCAGTAGGCACCACGTCCCGTACAAAACGCACTGCCACTCCAACAAAGAACTGACAGATTTCACAGACCACTAGATGCAAATTACGAAAGAAATCATCAGTCGATTATATTATTTTTTTTTAATCTAATTAAGTCAAGAAAGTAAAGTAGAAAGCCATATACCATACCTTCGATACAAATTTTCTACAAAGATATATTTTGCACTGTGAATTGATCGCTCCATCATTCTTACTGGGGAAATCTACAAAATAAAACTTGACAGTCACTGCCTACTTCATATTTTTCAGCATGTTTGTTTCTTTCCAAGCTCATATTGCACATCATGTCCTTTACATTATGAAATACATAACATTTTCAGTTCTTCCAGATCTGTGACAAAAAAATTTACTGGGAGGGTGGGAACCACAAAAAAGAAGTATTCTTAATCTTACTTATGGTCACTGCATCATTAAACACCTACATAACTAATTTGCTATTCATATGCAAGTTTCAAAGGTAATTGCAGAAGCATTCAACTGAGCAGCTGAAGTTAACTAAGGGGACAAAAAAGCAGCAATCCACTTAGGATTTGCAGAGCAACAGGAACTATCACTACCTGAATTGCTGCCACCTTCAGGTGTGCTATTGTGTCAACAGCACAGACCTAACCAGAAAAACTGTAACAAGAAAACAGAACTTTTTAAAGAAATAATTATAACTGACAAAGCACTGCTTCCTTAGCCAGTCCTGCACGTGTCCAAACAGCGCTTCATTTTGGAGAGGAGATTCTCTGTGGCCCCTGCAGAGCAAGGCAACCCTGGCAGAGCTCTTTCCAACCAGGTATTCTGCATGTTAATGATGACAAAAGCAACAATTACTCCAGCAAGGCTCAAATGGTAAATGACAGCAAAGTACAGATTAAAATGGAGGGCGATCATCAGGAATTTTTGAATCAATGTTTTCTGCAACAGAATGAGATTTCTATTATCTTGAAAAAACACCTCTTCCAAAAAGCTAATCATTATATGTGTGGTATCACTATCATATGTGGTACTTCCGAAAGTTCGCCCTGACACAAACTCAGAAAATATAATGCAAGAACAATCATTAAGATATAACCGTGCCACCTAAGATCAGATCCTGTAATCAGGGAATGCAAGATTTAGCACAGAATGTAACAAAAGGTGTTTGAAGGAAAGAGAAATGAACAGATCTTGATAAAAAGGTAGAGTGTGTGAATCGACACAGAAAAAGAAAAAATTGCAAGACAAAAAGGATGCAAACCATCGGAAAAAAAACAATAGAAAATTTTAGTGGAAGTATTTTGGAGAAACACAAGAAGCAATGGCTAAATTTGTGCTAGACAGCATAGAGCAGTAGAATGAATACTAACACTATCTTTAAGATTACCTAAAGTTTGCCAAAGATTTGAAATAGCTATATTTATATAGAAACCAATTACAGACAAGTCACTGACGTGTGATGAAGACATTTGTGCAAGTCTAGCTCATAAAGGTGGTGCAAAAAAAGCAGTATCAGTTTGGGGAGGTAAAAGTTCTGAGCAGGTAGGAGGCAGACGTTTCATCCCCGGAGCACATGTTGAGCATATCAACAATGTCTTTGCACCATAAAAATTCACACTCCCTGCAGGAACGAAGAGCAAACACAAACAGCATCTTAACTTTTGGATACAAGGTTAAAAATACGTATTACTCATAACCACATCTAACTTTTTTAAATTAAAAGAAAAACATGTTTGTTTACCATTGGTCTGGTATGCTGCTCCAACATTGTAAGCTGTATGTAAGTCTGTAATGTTATCCCCCATCTTGATGCATCTTGGTACATTAAGCCCTGGGGTTAGAGATGGAAGTGAGAGACAGACAGACATCATGGTTCAGTCAAAACAGCAAAATTTCGTAAGCTTTAGCAATTCTGTTGCGCAAAAAGAAGTGCACTAAAACAGCTGACACCAGGTTTGACAAGAATTAAGTGATCATTTGCTCTCCGCAATGCAGATGTAAGAATTACAGTCCTGGACCTTAGAGACACTAAGTGGGGCACTTGGAATGCTCGCTGAAGTCAACAGGAATTAGTTACTCTGCACCTGGAACAGTCAGGACCAAGGCACAGCTCATATGAGACAGTTCAAATATGGTTAGTAATTAAAAAAACGTATCTGGTACCCTGTTGTTGTGCACTGACAGACCATATACCCAGTCCATCCAGAAATGCAAATATGGTTCCAGTAAGTGTGTGCTGGGCCTCAGAAAAGGTGTCTTTTAACACAGACAACTGTTCTTCCCAAAGGATCATCAAAGCAGTTCTCAGATCTTCCACTCTTCCTGATTGCTGCAATTCCACACACACATACACTTACAAGCAACAGCCTATCCTGCAAAGCAGAGAAAAGATCTGACCCAAAATAAGACATCATTCAGTGTCTATTTGCTGAGGTAACAAGCTTTAAGTTAGCAGCATGGCTTCAGTCCACAGCTCTGACCTCTTTCTTTTCCCCTTGTCCAAGATCAGAATGAGAAAGTACTCTGAAGTGCACAGATTGCTGTGATGACATGCAACACAGCCAAGCCTGCCCCATCCCTTTACTAGTAATAAGAAATTAAAGCATCAGCAACTCCTAATAGGGAGAATTTACTTTTCCAGGGGACCTATGCTAGCAGTAATGGCATCAAATACATGTTTGGGCACGTGTGGTTTGGAGTGTATCCACACCGCTGGGTTGACAGCAAATTCCACATGAGCTTGAGCATAGATACCCATCTCAGCCAGCAATGACATTTTTGCAGTGGAGGTGATCATAAAAGCAGGGAAGACTGACATCAAAAACTACTTCAACCATCCCAGCAAAAGCATATCTGCAGATGTAGTCAGAGCCCTGACTGCTGTCTCTGAGCACTGCTGTGACAAAGGGACATACCTGTGGGGAACAGTTCCAAGAAATGATGACTACCCAAAAGACAACAGAAGCTCTCAACACCACACAGGACTTAATATTCCTTATCTTCAGCAGTCAAACAATATTAACCGATCAGATCCACCCCTCACTTTCTGAGGGACGTTCTTCCCTTCTTTGAAATGGGCATAAGTAGATTTAGAAACAACTGCCACACTCAGGGCTTACCTGTGAATTTCTTTAGTTCATACCCAACAAAACGTCCAGTCCTTGCCGAAATCACATTTTATATGCAATGTTTCTATTATATGCATGTCTTAATCACAGTAAAAGATCTTTTGCATCATGGACCTTTATTTTTTTGCTGTATGAGATTATGAGCACACCTTTCGTAACAGTTTTGCTGATTGGTAAGAAGTCCTCATGCATGTCTTTCTAAAATAACAGTAATTGTAGAAATAATTTCTGCCACTTACCAGGATATTATGACCACGAACATTCCTCCACTTAGTCACCGGTTCTGTCAAAACCTTGTTAAAAAGAATTACTCCGTGTTAAACATGGTTTAGATTCTAAATACTTAATTTGACCCTACAAGTCTACAACTATTTTTAATGAATACTCATTCAGTAAGTCAGAGTATTCAGGACTTGTATTGGAAAACTCATCCCTCTTCGAAAAACAGCACTGGATCCCGTAATACAAAAGGTAATAACGAACACTGTTAAAAAGTAGAGAAATATCATTATACAACATCTTTTTAGCATTTTTAAACCGCCAAAATAAAACACTGGATTGATTACCTAATAAGCCTGGATATAATTTCACTTTTTTGAGTCAAAAATCAGTACCATGTAAGGGAAAGAATAGCTTAGCTGAGTACTGATTGCAGTTCAATGACCTGCTCGTTCCCTCACAAATTAATTTCTGAGAGTAACACTTGTCAGCAAAGGAAAAGAGGATCAGACTGCTATCACATTTTCATTTTATTTTTGTGCTCTAACAAACAAAATTTATTCAAAAATTCTATGAAATTAATCAGAAAAGCTTCTACCCTTGTTGAAGATGATCTTAAGTTTTACTGAATCTTTAGGTTATGAAATAATCAACTATAAGAACATTTTGATTCTAATAAGTTAGCCCCTATGGTAGCGTTATGTATAGGTTGCTGTGTTACTTATTATTTGAGGCTGTGTTGCTTGAAGTCCCTATTCTCTATTCTCTGGACTCTCTAAACCATAACCAGAGCCTCTAGGTTCTATTGTTTATGGGATGAATTATTTGACAACCTGGCAAGGTAGATATCTAGTTGGCCAACTTGGCAACAGAACCTACTTTTAAGGTGTCCTGAAGTGAACTGCCTTCATTATAATACTAAAAAACACACCCACAGGTCAAGAAGACCCTTGCCCAGGTGAAGACCCTTCCCCCGCGCAAGCGTAGTAACAGAAGAGAATGACATAACAGATATTATAATTATATGTAAATCACTAACCAATCATTGTAACTGGGAGTGTACTACCTTATAATTTTTGTGTATAAATGTAACGGTGATCTAACCATAGGTGTGCTTGATTTGTGGAAATTCCACCTTGCACCCGGTGCCGTAATAAAGAATGCCTGCTTTCTAAAACTCCAAATTGAGTCTTAGAGAGTTCTTTATCTGCCGATTTACGGTAACACCCTGAATAGGTAAAATCACAAGAGACTCACCTGGTTCAAACAGGGGCTAAAACTCCAATGATAGTAGAGCCAGGCCTAAGAGAATCTGATAAGCCTGGGAAGTTAACTAGCTTTTTAAAAAATGTTGTACTATATGCGAATTCAAGTTTGCTATCCTTTGGGTTGATGCTTATTTTCTCCATAAGGATCATTCCTGTTAAATTACCAAATAACATCTGGCAACCCAGCATTTCTATGAGAAATCCTAAGAGTTATTATCAAATGTGTTCCCAGGTCTGCCGGGAAAACTATTAATACCTGATGTACACAAAAGCAATCGCTCACTGAGGTTTGATCTTGATTTTGTTTCAAATGCAGTAAGTCTGCCCTTCCCCTAATCTTGTTCTAAGCAGTATGAAATCAAATACCATATCAGTCTAAGAAATCTCCAGAAACAATTCTAACAGATTTTTCATTTTTTAAAAAAGCCATCCATTTACTGGGATCTCAGTTACATGACATCAGTATTTTTACATCATTACTTCTTTGTCTTTACTTTGCTTTTCACAAGATATATCTAAGATTTAAGTGACATGAAACAGCAAACGAGCATGCCCAAACATGCCCAACCCATGCGGGTTGCTGTTACTTTACAGAGGTACAAACTCCAACCTGCAGGTTTTACTGACATGTTGGCATCCAGTACTATATTACCTATGATCTACATTTCTCTGCTACAGTTTGACTATAAGTAGTTGGGGGAGGTGCACCGGTAAGTGCACTGGCTCACAACCTGCTGCTGCTTTCTCATTAGCCTAAGAAAGGACAACACTTCTAAGTTAACTGTCAATTTTGTCAAGACAACCAACTGCTTAATGATGTAAATAAAGACAAAGAAATGTACATCCAGTACCTCAATGCTGGTAGTTTGTGCAAAATAATCCAGGCATGTCGTTTTTCCACTTGCAATGTTCCCCTCGATACATATCTGATGAAAAACAGTATCACCTTTAAAAACCGTGCTATCGCATAGTAGTAAACAGCATATGTAAAAATATACTCTTTCCATATCAAGCATACTATTTCCTTATAATGTAAACAGATTATTTTAGAGGAGGACATTGGGGATCAGTTTGGATTCTGTGACTCCCCGCAGACCACCACTTTTTCTCTCCCTGACATACATACACCAACTGTCTCTTTACCAGGCACGGGGCAGCCCTACTTTCTGGTACCCCTGCAGTTAGCAGCCTGCCCGTGCTTCCAACTTCCCATCCCCTTCCCATGGCCCCCAGGAGTTTCAGAGGGTCACCTGCTGGGCTGCTGCTCCTCCACACTGTCTGCCACAACTCACCTCAGAGACTTCAACTTAACTTTCAACTTAAAATAAATGCCAACTGAAGTCATAATTTCAGTATCCACGAAATAGATAGCTTAAACCTTAGGATGCATTAAATTTTTATTTTCAGAAGCCTGCACAATTAAAATAAACTAAGAGAATTTTGTTTCAGCTGTCTTAAAATAATTTATAGCTTAAAGTAATTAGATTCCAAATACAAAAAACCCCAACTCACAGGCAGGGTTGTATCGGGCAACTGCAACGCTACACAGGCAACACTGACCCCAAACGACACTTGGCCCTACACAATACCATGCATCTGCACAAATCCCTCGCGACTTTATTGCAATTTACAGAACTAGATAAGCGTAGGTTTGCACCGAGTAAGGCCCAGTAATGGACCCACCACCTGGACACCACTCAGTAAAACAGCCATGTCGAGTGGCTGCCAATATACACATGCTTAGATTGTAACAGAGTAAGAGGCTGCACGTTCTACATAGTTCTGAACAAAATGCAAATACTTACAACTGTCTTTCTATCATCTTTTATCAGATGTTTATCTAGAATGGAAATAAACAGGAGTTACAACCAGGGAGATCTTCATAATTTTGAGTTATACTGAGCCCCTTAATGTGAGCCCCTCCATGAAGCTTTTAGGTGCCCTATTACTTAATACGAGTATTTGCTAAATTGCCAGTCTTTAAGGTTTTAGGTAATCATTGGGTCATGTAACAGACATGTTGTGGCATACGCTGACACAGTTTTAGCTTAAGTTCTCCATTGTCCTTGACACTATGAAGAGACAAATGGTGCATGCCTACACCCTTTCAGCAGATTTCTGTTACACTTACTGCTCCTCAGTTAGTTTCCACGGGAGAAAAAATGAATTTTGGGAAGGCAAGTCATGGTGCAACGCCCACTGACCTAGCTGACAGGCCTAGCTACAAAGTTGGGTAAGGATAAAGATTTTAGGACGCCTCCAAGACAAGCAATTTAGATGCCTTACGTCTCAAAACTGCCTATATAAAACTTCTGCAAGCAATGCTAAGACCGCTAGACCCTTAACAAAACGAAACACCAAAAAAAGGCAGTTTCGGTACCCCAACACTGCCGGTGAGGGACCACAAAGGTTATCGGGGCCACGACGTACAAGAAATCAGAAGAAGCAGGTTTACTCAGCCCGAAGAGAGGGCAAGGGGAGTCCTGCCGCTGCCCTGGGAGGAGGCTCGGTGGCTCCTCACACCCACGTAGTCACCGGTGCAGACTTTTAAAAAGAACTGAGCCATGAACGCTCCTGGCGTCCCCCCGGAGCCGCCACCCCCGCACCCCGTTTACCGTCGGGCAACGACTACCAGGAACGCGTAGAGGGACGGCGTCACCTCCCCGGCCGCCCTTCTCGCACTTCCCTTTCCAGCGGGTTCCCCACCGCTGCGCCGGGCCCGGGTTACCGCTGCTCGGACCCGCGCCCCCGCGGACCGCGCGCACAC